TCTGCCTGAAACACTAGCCTGTTTTGCCATTAGCAATGAAGGTCCATCATAATCCTTATAGGCAGGTTCATAAATTTTTTTACCTGGAAAAGCCTTCACTGTATTTTAAAATTATTCCCTTTTTCTTCACCTCCATTTCCATGTTTCCTTCGCTATGCTCCCAGTGGATCTGACACTTCTACATTAATAGAAGACTAATAAAATAGAAGACCTGTGATAAAAACACACTTTTATGGACTACTCGGGCATGAAGCACTACAGGACCTGAGCAAGAAATAAAAATACAATAAACTATATCAAAATTCAGCTCCGATGGACTCATTGCCACAAAAACAGAAACAAGTGAGCAGACACCTTGGCAAGGACTCAATCATTTTCTGTACAGCATTCATGGAAGCAGCCAAGGGTCGAAAGCTGCTGCAAAGTTATTTGGAATAGGGAAAATAGTAACTGAAGGGAGATGACACACTGGAACATTCTGCATTTTCAAAGTTAAAACAAAGAGACAGGATCAGAGCTGAAAAATCACCTGTAAGAATTTACACAACAGCACGGGGTCTACTGGGCAGCAGTCTCCCAGTAACAGACCAGAGAACAGCTGAGTGCCTTCATACCACCCAGAAAACCCCTGCTGAAGTGCAGGCCAGGGACTCTGCTCCCCCGGCCATGATGGGGGAGAAGAGGAGAGACAAGGGGGGAAGGTGCTGGGCAGCGGAGCTGGGATCGAGGGGCAGTTTTGCACTGCAAGCACTGATCTTCCAGCTCACAGCCTGAAACTGAAAGCACTGCACCAGTGTGCTACCAGCTCTCCGGCGCACGCTTATGAACAGGAAAGGGTCTTCTCCACCAGGTCTCCCTGGACATACCCTGGCTGGAGCACACCGAGCTACCCAGGAAAGAGGGTAAGGAAGCCATCCAGGACTAAACTGGAGAAATTTACTCCCATGAGCACTCACAAGCACAGGAGAATCCATACGTGTTTTGCAGCCATACTACTGACCAGGGTCCCAAGAGCATAAACTCCCTGTGACTGGTAACACCAATGAAGCTCCAGAGCATCTGCCTCTTCGCAGAGCCTTTTCCTCTGGGGCAGGAAACGCCTGCCCAGCCCTCGGCAGTCTGAGATGCTGGAAGGGGCAGTGGAGGCAGCTGCCTCCTGCGGTAGCAATTGCAGCACAATCTTGGACCTTGGGGGCTTTTACTCCTGCAGGGAAAGTAAAGACTAAGCAAAACTATACACTCGGGCTGCCTGTTTCGCCTCTTGGAAATTCGGCTGCCAGTCTCACAGAGCAACAGGAAAAATCACATTCATTTCCACAGAGATTTTATCACCTCAGTCTTGGCATGGGAGAGGCATCTCCGCCCAGCTGTGAGCAAGCCAGCGCATTTTGCTGGCTTTTTTTTATGTAATCAGAACAAATTCCTTGGAGATGAGTCACAGGGTTTCAAGGGTGTCCAGAGAGATGTCAAGCAGGCCTCAAGTGTAAATCAGTGACACACCTTGCTGAGAGGACGCACGCTCGCCGGCAGGCCCATTCGCCCTGCGGACACCAGGCAAGGGAAGGGGCTCGATGGATGTTCCCAGGGACGCCCCCATGAGCCACACACACACGTGTGGCACCTCCAGACCCAGGACACTGCTGGTGTTTACATTTCCTCTATAAAGACAGTGATGGTTTCAGGGTGGAGCTGGAGTGCTTCCCTGCAGCTGCTCTCCAGGCTTAAACACTGAAGATTTTCGGTCATCTGGGCTGGAGGAGCCCAGCAGACAGGAAAAAGATTTGAACTTCAGAAACAGAAGTTCTGCCTCACCAAAGCCTGGTCAAACTGCAAGGGGCTCCTGCCTGAGATGTTCGTTATGGTGGAAGAGCTGCATCCCATGGCAATTGTTTCAGTGCTGTGATGTTGCTACGTTAAGCAAACCTTTTCCACTCCCCTACCGAGGAACAAGTACTCCAGCCTGCATGGGTCTGCAGGCCAAACAGAGGACAAAGATGATACTTGCATAATTTCAAGGCACAGCTTGCTTTAGTGGCTCCTTTAGAGGCTGAAATGTAGAGGAGGACCAGGAAGAACTAGACCTGGACACAATCCCAGAGGTCCAAAGTAACACTGAGGAAAATGCTGTGGATGCTCTTGGGCCTTTGGGTGCCAGAGCAGAAGGAACAGACAAAAACCTTGGTGGAGCTTGGCTCTGGATCAGTCTTCTTTCACTAGTGCCAAGGGCAATGCTTGGCACAAGGTGCTAATGCAGGGCAGCCTCCCTATTTGCAAACCACATGCAGGTCTCTCTTCAAGCAGAGTGTGCAGGGCGCTTCCAGTGTAGACTGGGGCAAATCTCCATTTTTGTTTTCTTTGAGGGCAACTGCAGAAGACACAACCCAACTATCATGCCCTTCACCTTTCAACTTCACCCTCAGGTGACTAACAATTACCAGCTACCATTAATATTAAATGGGAAAAAAAGAAATGCAATCCTCTCTCTGCTCTTCACATTCCACAATATCACAAACCATTTGTCACATTGGGAGGGGCAGAGGCAGGAGGAGCATTAATTATTGATACTTGGGAACAGATGGCTTTTCTAGTACCAGGGCAGCGAAATGTAAGAGGAGCCTGTGGGTGAGGATGTGAGGATTAGATGGGCATACACATATCAGATAACCAGCCTTCAAGTGGAACAGGAACCTTCCTCCTAGAACCAGCTCTGCTGGCCTGCAGAGTTCTCATCAACAGCCCTGGCTGCAGAAACAAATCCACTGACATCTGAATTAGTGAGGCTTCACCAGAACCTTTCAACACTCCCTCACCTCTGTACAGAACATCCTGGACATGATGACTGACAGCTTCCAGACAGCAGAAGCCTGACAAACCAGGCACCAACTGGTCTCTCTAGGAGACCTTACTGCATTTCACATGTTCATCCTCAGCTACCACCCTGTGCCATGCAAGGTTTATTCCCGAGACCACATATGGTGTCCAAGAGGACTCCCTCCTGTCTTCCACTGGCTTCTGCATCCCCCTCAGGGCTGGCCTCCAGAATCAAAGATGCAAGTGATCTGGACCGGTGACTTCAACCAAAGACTCTGTCATCCAACTCTTTTTGCCAACTTTTCCCATTGATCCATGTAAGGATCAAGAGCAAGATGACTTCATTCTTGTCAGCTCCTGTGTAGGTGTCCTTGAGGTCAGAGATACCTACCATGTTGCAAAACAGGCTTGGCACAGGATACCCGCTGTGAGTGTCCCCATGTCCAGGAGCAGACCGTGGGACTGACAACCTTATGAAACAGGAGGAACAACTGGGCAAGAGTGATTCTCCACCAAAGGTAGCCGATTCACCAGAGTGGACACAGTGGCACCACAGAGACAAAAGCTTTTCCTGAAACTTTCATGAACAGTCTTCGTACTCACTGCTGGAGCCAGGCATCTGCATCCATTTTCACTCTGCTGTAACCATGTCTTTGCTGGAAGACTAAGGAGCCAGCTGTACTAACTCAGACCTGGGCCTGGGTAGCCTAGGGTCCTGTCTCAGGCAGTGGTTACAAGCAGACACCCAGGGAAGAGTCAGAACTGGGCAAGCCAATGGTGATACCTCCTCTACTACTGCAAGAATGATATTGCTCAGCTATTTTCCGCTCGGGGATTTCACAAGCCAGATACCACCTCTGTACATAGTGAGTCAATTCAGTTTTCCTCTCTGGACGTACGCCTTAAATCCTGTAAATGGGCACTCACTTTCCCAGCCAGGACAGATTAAATTCATGGTTATTTCACTGAGCAAGGCATACTTTCTTGCTACCTCCACAGGTCCAGAAGGTACCTCAGGACAACAACGTCCAGTCCCTTGATATATTGGGGACCTCCTCACAGTCTTTTCCCAAACTTAGTTTGTTCTCTTGGCCTCTGCTGAGAGGTTGTTCCAAAGCCTCATTACTTTGATAATTAGACACGCTCTTCTCATTTCTCAAGCTGACTAATCACTGATTTCTAATTCCTCTCAGTCTGCCTAGGGTCATGCAGCCTGCAGCCTGTGAAAGTCCTAAGACACGTACAATCTTGTGATTTGGAAAAACACAACTTTCCAGCTTCCTTCCCAGCATGGATCAATGGCAAAGTGCTCGAGGTGAACAAATGCCAAGTGCCAGGAGACAGCTACTGTCCATGAACAACACAATTTTGCACAATGTGGAGTAGGATGGAGAAAGTTTCCCTACCTAGGAGCCAGTAAGAAGGGGGAAGCAATCTTAGAAAGACCTGGGCAACATCTGTGCTGGGAAAGATTGAGCTCTACCAAAAAAGCAGCAAACCTTTCCACTATAGAAGTTTTGACCAGTGTCCGAGTTTGCTCTAGTTTGGTACAGGAGATGGACAGACCTGAAAGAGCGTCTTTATACTGCTGTATTATATCAACACAAGAGCTTTTGTTCCTCTAAAGATGCTGTTCATCTCACTGTGATAGTACCAGAAAATGTTTCTAATGTAGCTCTGGCTTTAAAGAGCAGACTCCACAGAGCCACAATGTGTTTACACTAGCTAACTGCTGCTGAACAGTCAGCTGAGAGCTAACATGCACGGGCTAATCTCACCTCCCCCACATTTCACAGGGGCTGAGGAGGGGATCATCTAGCAAAAGAAGCCTATGGATTAGAGAGCAATACAATGGATCAAAAAGCAGGAGAAGGCCACATCTTTTCAACCCCAGAGCAGAATTGCTCCCTTTCACCCTACTTGAGTTAAAATTTATGTGAATCTTTTCCCTGCTGCTTGAAGGAATCACATTATATACACATTCCAGAGAACTTTTCCCAGCAGAAATAACCGTTAACACACATTGCGTTTGGGAGAATGTCTAGAATTTTACAGGCAAATGCATGGGTGGAGCTGTGTTTTGACCCATACAGGAAAGCTGTAAGTTGACATCACCATCCCAGTCAGGCTCTGGAGTCGGGGCGGTCGGCAGGCTTGGGAGGAAGATGTGCTCGGCAGGAGCTCCCTACCTCTTTGATGGCAGACATCTTGATGTTCTCATAGTAGTGCAGCGGTGCATTGGGTGAACTCATGTCATAGCCAAACCCAGCTACCGCCACCTCATCACAGTTGTGGAGCGCCATGGTTATTGCTACGCTTCCCAAGGTGGGGATGTCAGGAATGGAAGTCATTAGCACGTTGCCATTTCTATTATCAAAGATTTCCTCTCACTGTCTCTGCTCACAGGGGCACTGCTGCTACTAAGCAGAAAATCAGGAACAGGGTGTTTGGCTATATCTGCACATCAGCTGCCCAATGCCAGCTTGCGAGGTCAATAGCCTCCCAACTTGTAAAGAAAATCACATGTTAGCCAGCTTCCTGCAAAACATCTAGTACAAAAGTAGCGGCTCTTGTTTGAGGCTCTATGACTCTCCAGGGGAGTATTGCAGGGCAGAGGGATTAATGCAACTGGTCAGACTCTCCTTCCACAACTTTGCTGTCCTGAGAACGGGGCAGCAGACGAGCTGGAGGATGAATCACAGTGGATACGTTAGTTTTCTGAAATTAAAACAGACGTAGATACTGGATTACAATTCTGTGCACATTACTGGCTTCCAGCTAGGCTAAGGAGGAATACTTAACCCAAATGGGCCACCACACAGGAGTAGAAGTGAGGAACAGTACAAACTTTATTTTACTGATGGCAAAAGCAGTTTAAGGAGGCTGTTAAACAGCTCTGGGAGATGGAGAGATCAGGCAGACCCAGCCAGCAGTGTGCACTGAGACCCCTTCCTTTGCTCAGGGGCACCCCCACAGGCAAAGGGCACTCAGCATACTGGGAAGACGAGGAACAGTGGGAAGCCAATCAGAGATGGGTGCTAGCACTCTGAGCAGGGACACCCCGACTGTCCTCTCTCGTCTGCTGACGTGCCATTTGCACCAAAGTCCAGCCTCAGCCCTTCCCATTTCACCTGCCTTCTGCCGAGGCCCTGTGACAGCAGTGCTGTATGGCTGCAACTCCTCTTGTGCATTCAGATGAACATGACCGCTGTGACAGACGAGTGTTTCCAGTGTAAAACCCTACCTCTCAGACTCTTCTAGCTCCCCTTTAGCCAGACGAATCCAGAGGTAGCTTTACCCCAGGGGCTAGGGAGAGGCTGAGAAATCCACCCACATATCTTATCTACATTTGTAGAGCATCCAACACTTGCTGTATCAAAAGTATCACGAATTCAGAGGACATGCTCAGACAGTCACCAAGGGTGACAGCCTCTTAGCTGAGATGTAGAAGCCAACTGCACGCTTATATTTTGCATTTAAAATGGTTTACCCTGAACTGGTGAGCAATGCTATTGCATTTCACCTGATGTTCGTAATAGACTGGGAACACAATGTTTTGAGTTTCTGCATCTGGTTCAAAGGAACCGACTTTTGGCAGCACACTACCTTGCTCACTTCTGATTGCCTGTCCCAAGACCAACATTTCCAAGCAAAAAATGCCACCCATACCCTAGCTGAGATGTGCAGAGCTGGGAGCACAACCCACGTGCTACGGAGAACTCCACTACAGTGCACTGGAACTACACTAATCTGAAGACAAATGTGCAAAAACTGCTTATGGCTAAATCAGTCGAACATTAAATTCAAACATTTGCAGTGCAACTGTAACAGTGCACATCTGAAATGAAAAGACCTTACTACATCCTCCAGTGCCACCTCTAGATGTTAGGAAAAACAGCAGAGTCATTTTGTTCTCACTGCTTAATTTCAATTGATACTCACCACAAACAATATTGGTTTTATTCTGGTTACTTTAGTTAATTGTTAATTCACTGGTAGCCATAAAATATCAAGGAGGGCTTTAAAAAAAATTGGAAAAAGTTTATTAGGCAATGATAAGAAAATTCCCCTGAATTTCAAAATATGCAAGAACATCCTGTCTTCCCAGGCACAGCAGTTCAAATTCAGATATTCTCAGCTTTATGTTTTACATAGGAGATGACATTCAGATGTCACTGGAATTGCATCAGCTGGTAAGTGGACTTGCCACAAAACCCTTTCTCTCAGCTGAGCTGTAGTTACAGTGTCCAAAACATAGTCAGTAAATGGTTACGTCCTTGAGAACGTGTCGTCATTGGGAATAAGATGGCGTTAACACCACCCACACTTGCACTGGGCCTATTCCCACGGTACAGCTCAAAGGAGACGCAGGGTCTTTGCCTGGAGGGAATTTCACTGGCCAAGTTAACATTTAAGAGCTAACTTTCTAATGTGAGTCTTACAAACTACAGAGAATTAATCATGCTACCCAACCTTACGGGAGGATTGCCAAACCACCAAAACTTTCTTTCAAGCATATTCTTATTTCTGTTTGGAGAATAACAGATTACAGAAATCAAAAGTGAACTTTCCTTTGGTCACCAAATATCTGCCCGACTTTTTTCTACGTATAATACCTCCAATGGCCTTCATGGAAAAATAGGAGATAATTTTCTCATCTACTTCTGTTCTTCAGTAGTTTCTAATGTGCCAGTATCTCAGTACTGCCTGCTCCTCTCTCAAAAATGATTAAAATACCAAAGACTACCAAAGACTTCCTAACCTCTTGGATTGTAGTAGATGTATCTGGTTTGGCCCCTACAACTATCAGAAAATCACAAGGTGTTCTTAGCAAAATAGTTTTGTATTGCCCTAAAATCACATGCAGAAACCGATGATCTGATGGCAGTTTTTAATTAAATTATGCCTTATTGATGTTAGCACCCTCCAATAGCACGGTAGCTACAGCCTAGTGCGTGTGTCCCCCTTGAAGACAGAGATCTGCAGCCATTCACACCTTCACTGCTGAGATGCAGCCTCACTTCCCACTGCTGCAGTCAGAACCCTGTGGGCTAGGGAGGACCGCCTGGAAAATACTGTAAAGATTATTACCCCTGCTATTCACTGAGGGCAGTAACTGTTAGGGCAGCAGGGGCGTGCTTGAAGAGCCCACCCTTAGTAAATGGCGTGGGTAACAGCACCTGCTAAGAGACGAGCATGAGTACAAATTGTGTGTGCACCCACATACGCCTGGATCAAATACACATAACTGGGCATTTGCTCCGAACCGTTTATGTTAAAGAAGAAGCAACCATCAGACAGATTAAACAGTACCTGGGGAATTAGAAAGACTTGAAAAAAAAGGAGCCACCTTGAACAGAAGCATAAAAGAAGCATGATTGCCAGTTAACTACATGTTGTTAGTAAGTCAATATAGTGCTTTGGTCCTGATTTGGTTTAAACTACAGAAACTGAGCATTTTTCTCCTGTGACAGCCTGCTGAGCTTCTGCTACTCCTTCCTTCTTGAAAATGAAGGACTGCTTCATGTCCAGTTTGCAGCATGGGAAAGAGAAGGCCTTGTAAGATCTAGGGATATGTCCCAGGCTGTGCTGCAGAGAAGCCAACTCAGCAGCGTTCTCCAGGTCCAGGGGAAAGGGCTCTCCTCTCCTCTCAGCAGAGAAGTGGCAAATGAGAGGGGACATGTATCAGAGAGAGGAAACGGTTATAATTATTCTCTGGCTGCATGTACACAGCTTCCAAGCTCTCCTGATTGTACACAGGCATATAAATGTTTACTGCTAAGCTCTGATCTGGACCTAATGAACCACGTACAACCTTTGGGGCAAGTTGGGGAACAGGTCACTCCAAAAGAAGTTAGGCATCATGGACATGGCTGTGCCAAACCTGGCTTGCTATGCCCTGCACAATGCGTCGGTGCTATCTCACCACACACACCCTTGTGCCGTGCCCCAAAGACATACCAAAGCAACCACCACACCTCTTGCGTTGAGTTATGAAAATAAAACTCTCTCAAACAACTGAGCAAGAGGCCTCCTGTTATTCTAGGCCATCGCTACAGAAAAAACCCAAAATCCCAACATTTCACCTCAGGAATAATAATCTCCGGTTGGACAAGCTCAAAGCCTGTCTTCCAGCTCATGGTTCTCTATGCGCCTGGGTATTCCGGTACTACCAAGCAATGCTGCTTTCAACCAAATGGTTGAAGAACGGCAGCCCAACAGTGGCCAGTGCCAAGGCAGAAGCCTCCTGGGATGCCCTCCAGCCACACAAAGACTGGCCAGTACAGGCTAGGCCACCACGGCATGGGGCTGCCTGGAGTTGCCCAGCAGGACCGCTGCTCCAGATGTGGCCATGATAAGTTTCTGACCTGAACTGGCGCCCACCGAACAGGGAGAGCTGGGAATGGCAAGACCCCAGAAAGCATAGGCAGTCCTCTCCCCCTGCCAGTTCCCTGCCACAAGCGTTGAACTTGGCCTTGCAAGCTCTGTACCCCCTACTGTTTCTCATAGGTTTCTGTCCCAGCTGGGGCCCATGGTGGGCACGAGGTTCAGCATCGCCTCTCCAGCACTGGTAAACAACTGCAAAGGCAACCTCCCTGCATAACGTGGCCTGAACTGACAGTCCACATTTCCAAGCCAGCCTGCTTGTCTAAGCCCAAACATCTGGAAAATGTAGTATCTAATATAATGCTCTTCAGGGATCAGCCCTTTGCCTGGTCCCATTTGAGAGAACGCAGCACACTGACGGATGAGCTAGAGATGACACCAAAAGGCCACCTGACAAACAGAAGCAGCAAACACAACAGTGGTGAGCGACACATCACCGCAGCAGTGCTGGGCAAAGGCTGCTCGTGCATCCAGAGTGTGACTCTTTCCAGGGGCCCGCTGGCACACGTCCTCCATGGGTGAGGTGAGCACAACCATGGTGGATCCTGGGAGAGAAAAGCATAAAGACAAGAGAGGCAAAGATCTCTGGTCTTGTGCTGCGTCAGGGTTCACTGCAAGCTCTGTGCGGTGCAAACACAGCCAGTCTGCACCACCAGGTCAGGCAACCAGAAATGCCTTTAGCAGCACAGACAGACATAGGACAGGTTCTCCTAACTGCTCCTACACTGTTCTCTGCTGCAACAGGAAAGATTAAAGGCTTCCCCTCAAGACATTGTTTCATCTTCCATTGGTCCCCGTGAAGAGGCTTTAAAGACTGACTTCTACTCACACAAGAAAAGAAGCCAGTCAGCAGAAATGAACACCAGCCCTCCTCTGGACTTAATGGAGGCTGAGCATCACCTCATGGGCTTGCGCTGGAGATCCAGTGCTGGCAACTGAATCAGGGGACT